AGCTGATGGTTGTTCCACACTCGGTACTCAAGCTTCCCGAATGCCGCTGCCGCCTTCGACACGCAGGTACCCAGCTCACTGTGTGACTGCTGATCAGTCGATATCACACTCCAAAGGTAGCTGAAACGGGAGGTGGTTTACAATACTTCAGCACCAATGCTGATTCGCGGCCATATTGACGCTTGCACCTCCGGTGAAGGCTGAAAGAGACAGACCGTTTTGCTTGTGTTGATGGCGAGCCCGAATTTTGCCGCTGTCGAAGCCAGAGCACTAGTCATGTGCTGCAACTCATCCGCGCTGTGTGAAAACAACGCACAGTCGTCAGCAAACAGCAACTTACGGATAGTTTTCTCACAAACTAGTTCTCGCACCGAAACGACGAATGTTCAGCAACCCACCATCATTACGGTGCTCCACGCGAACACCGTAAGCACAATCGGCATCAAAAGCACAAGACAACATTGCATGAAGATATATATTAGACAGGGCAGGAGCTAAGACACAGCCTTGCTTCACACCAGAGACAACTGCAAAGTCATCCGAGGTCTCTCCACTCAGCTGCACCCTCGCTCGCATACCACTGTGCAGACATTCAATTAAACTTACAAACTTACGCGGGCAACCAACCTTACCCAACACCAGCCACAATGCCTCGCGGTTCACCGTATCAAATGCCTTGGTGAAATCAACAAAAAGCGAGTACAATGGCTGTTGTCGTTCTCTGCACTTCTCTTGCAACTGACGAGCCGCAAACACCATATCTATAGTGCTGCGACCCGAGCGGTATCCACACTGCTCTTACGCTACGTTAGGTTTCACAACCTGACTGATGAGGTGGTTGAGCGGGATTCGCGTAATCACCTTGTCCATACAACTCAGCAAGTTGATGCCACGATAATTCGTGCAACATTGCTTGCTCCCTTTACCCTTGTACAGTGGTAGAGCAAGGGCGTCCTTCAGCTCAGGAGGGCACCTCCTCCTCAGTCTATACACGTTGCACCAAGTGGTGCAGTGCAGTTGACAACGCGGGTCTGCCGTGTTTCAATACTTCAGGCGAGATCCCGTCGGCTCCGGCACACTTGCCGTTTCGCAGCTGAGCAAGTGCTCTCTGCGTCTCATCCAGTGTCAGCGAGTTCGCAAGGCTCATCCTCACATCGTGCTGCTTGAAGCCGTTCAGCGTACTCCAGTCGATCTCTGAACGGTGGTTCGGGCGACAGTCAAAGTTTTCGCCAGATCTGCATTATGTCTACAGTCTGTGTGCAGACAGCGCCTGAACTACCATCGATCAGCGTCGTTAACGGCTCCAGCCTAGGCCAATACACCGCCTTCAAGAAGTCAAAGATTTTCTTGTGTTGGCGCGTTCGGCGTAGCATTCCATCTGCTTCGCTTTCTCCGTCCACCATGGATTTTCAGTGCGACGGAGCTCTTGGGTCAGTCGCCGTCGAAGTTTGCGAAACTGACTACCCTTCCCCAAGTCACTGGGATCTGCGACATGTGCAGTAAATGTTACATTCTTCTCCGAGACCAATGCGCCAATCGTCGCATTGTTCTCATCAAACCAATCAAGCCACTTACAGTTTTCGCGCCCGATGGTCTCCCCGGCAGATGCTGCCACCTGATCGCGAATGTGGTTATGTCTTCCACATCGCACTGGTGTTCAGCCATTGTCTTATCCAACTCAACACGTTTCGCCACGGTACCGAGTGAGAATGTTAAATTTACGCCTATTCACGTCGCAGTACAGTACATAGATTTACGAAAATATATGTACAGTTTGGTCCGAACCAAATTGTGATCACTGCCACACTCAGCTCCACGCAGTACACGTGTCATGCGCACTTCACGCATATCACGATGACGCAAGATGACATAGTCGAGCAGGTGAGCGTGACCACTCCGTGGGTGCGTCCAAGTTGCTATATCACTCGCACTCAGTGCAAACCGAGTGTTCATGATCGTCAGGCCGTGAGTGGCACACAGTGAGAGCAGCCTGTCACCGTTCGCATTCGCTGAACCAATGCCATGCGCACCGATAACATCTGTCCACGCTGATGCATCACGCCCAACGCGCGCGTTGAAATCACCCAGCAGAAATAGTCCGTCGCTCCTCGGCGCGGACCGTATCCCGGAAGATAGCTGAGTTTAGAATTGATCATGCGTGTCATCAGGATAACACATGGTCGGACCGTACGTGCTTATAAAGGTGGTAAACTTACCTCTTCCGAGTCGTAGGCGAACAGTCATCAGTAGCGCGCAGATGCCTGTTGCTTCACCAAGGAGCTTGTCATTTAGGTGATCGGATATTACAAATCCGACCCCATGATCACGTGGTGCTGAGGTGGCGTTGCCCACCCAGTAGAATGTATAGCCAGCATCTGCTTCATGCAACTTACCTTGCTCAGCGAGCTGGGTTTCACTGAGCGCCGCAATATCGATGTTGTAGCGCGCCAGCTCCATCGCGACGAGTGCAGTGCGTCTCTCAGGGCGCACACCCGAGTTCCGGTCCAGTCGTTTGTGCACGTTTCAGCAGCCGATGCTGAGTGCTTTGCGCGCAGGCATACGATTGCATTGGTGGGCAATCGCACGCGACGTGGTCGTGCTTCGGAGGTTTGCTTGAGGGACTCCACCCGGAGCCTTGGGCTCAATAACCTGACCCACAAGGCAGTGGGGAGCAGATCCAGCTCGGAGATGTGATTGCAGAGACAGATTGGGATCTTCTTGACGGCCGTCACACGCAGCCTTTGAGGTACTGGAACGATTTATATATGTTTTGCGACCGTAATAGGATACACCTGTGACCACGTCCAGACGCAGGTGGGTTTTGGCGGGTTTGCACCAATTTGAGCAGGGGCTGCCTGGCTTGAGGCAGGCAGTAGCAAACCATTGAACACCCGGAGGTGTCCTCCCACCGTGAGAGACAAGGCGTGGCGCTGGTGCTCTACGCCATTCGAGCTGTGAGCTTATAACCCGTAGACCTATTGTCTCCCATGGCTAAGTTTTACAAGAAGTGGGCCATCGACCACTTCCTAACCTCCGAAGAGGATAGACTAGGATGCTGGTAGGGCGCCCACACCTGACAGGAGAACGACTCGGGTCCTCAGCCAAAGCCTTTGATTAGATGTACACCCGAAAGGCAGCGGGTCTAGCCCATGGTCAGTTCACTGACTCATGCGGATTGGTGTCCTGGATCTTAGCAGGGAGAAGGACGAAACCCAACTTCCACCCAGGGGTGGCCACGAGGAGGCGCCCAGGACATGAGCCAATGGCAGAACGGTAGCAGCAGTGGGTAGACCATCTGTCAGGATCTAGCCACCACCAGCCTCAGCGCACCATAGGCTCTCCCGCCAGTGTTATATATATATATATATATATATATATATATATATATATATATATATACATATATATATATATATATATATATACATATATATATATATCGCTGACACTAGGGAATTGACTGTTTGGCTGTCTGGGAGTACTACCACTTTTGTAGTTGAGGGGCCTCTTTACGGATCACAACAGTCATTGGAGTTATCATCCAACAGAGTGTAATTGCGGGGTCCATACTGTCTATTACACTTAGATGTCCATGCGCTCTGATTAATTTTGCATATTTTCCCCAACCTTTGCTCTTTGGCGTTATGCCTATTTTCCACCGTCTTGTTATTTTTGTTCATTTTGTTAAGATTTTCATCCCAGTAGTTCACAAGCTACATAGCAGAACATAGTCCGGAAACGCACCGGACGCGTTTCGCCCTATTGGGGCTCGTCAATGGTGCGCATTCCCTCGGTCCTCTATAGAGGATCGAACCCACAACCGCTAGAAGATGCCAACTAGCCAGCATCTTAAGCCACTGAACCATGGGGGACGTTGGCTGGGCTACCTTAGTTGCTAGTCATAGGAACATGATCCATCGCTTGTCAATGATGAGAACTTAGCATAAATGAAGGGAACTGGAATATACCAAAAGGCAGGATGCCAGATATCACTCCCATCTGTTTAAACAACCAATGAACCTCTTGTGGAAATCGCTTACTTTTTCATCACATCACTATTGCCTTTAATCTTCTCACACAAATCATGCTTCTGTGGCTTACTGGTGCTTGTAGTGCGGAACTCAGGTGCTGGTTGTAGCGATGACCGCAGGAACAACTATGGTTACCGATTATTCAGAAGTCCGAAAATTACTGGATCCAACGTATGTTAGAAAGATCTGCGATGAGCTGCGCGCAGATTAGCAAGTACACGAAACAAGATAGCGCACGACTCACAATGCAATGGAGAGTGAATGGGATGTATAATCAGTTAAACATATGGATAATCGGAAGATTCAGACAACGAAATCCATTGTCACGATTTACTGCAAGCGTAAATGTCTCATGTTCCCTACATGCTCGTGGATGCAAACTCGTTGGCATTTAGTCTGCTTTCCGTGGCAACTGAGTTCATTCATCGAAGATTGAACACTGTCTTGCATATTGATGGCTTGTCTTGGTTTTCTTTCGTAACTTTAGTGCTGCTTTTGACTTGGTTGTACGCATCTGCCCGTTGAGCGGTAGATCTCTAAGGAGTATGTTTGTTAAATCCCCTTATGCTCAACTTGCTGACGCGAATCCCGGGGTCTTGTGAAACCCCACGGGAAGCCGTTCCCAGATTACTTTACAAGTGTTACGCGGTCTGATCACTATGTATTCAATTTCTTTGATGTTATAGTATGAATGATCACGATTACGGCGTCTGCTTATTGAGTGACCCGGTTCCTGTACTGGATTAACTCCACCCCACGCTTTGGCATGTAATTCTCACCTTCATTGTGCAGATACAGCACCACTTAAACACACAACTAGTCCTCAGCATCTGCCAAACAGCCTCTCAGCGACCAAACTTGCGCATACAGTGCTATGGTTCTAATTGCTTCTCAACTCTACCAAGTCTTGCTGTATTTCTATTTTTTTTAATTTTTTTCTAAACATTGCTGCATTCTTTGCTCCCTCAGGTCTTCGTCTGGATTCGTTATCAGAGGCAGCGACTCAGTTCTCCGCCGTATATCCGGTCAAGACAATCCCATGCCTATGTCTGATTGCTTCCACTGGGGAAGTTATCGACGTGAAATCCGGCGATACTAGTAAAAACGACTTACTTGAATGGCTATCCAAGCACAGTCAAGAACACGGTATTTTGAATATTTTCCAATATGCATTCCTCCGTGTTTCTGTCGATTTCGTACCATGAAGCTTACAACTCATCTGAGGTGGCACTATGAACAAACAAATTATACAGTCGGTAGTTGTCTTTGATGGTACCTTTTTTATACTCAATGAATTTTCATTTTCTACTTGCCATCTCTGAAATTAAAAGATCTGTTGCTACCTCCAGTATTGTTCAAAATCTCTTCTATTCAATTCGTTGTTCTATTTTACGAATGCCAAGACCAGCCCGCCAATGGTACATGCTTCACACAACCCGGTTTGTACTGACTCACCTCATGCTGATCGTCTTTAAAAAGCAATCAAGCATCGGGGTTTTATGGTCCACATTCATGACTATCTTGCTTTTGCTGAATCTGGCAGGTACAAACGTTTCTGTAACCAATTCCGTTACTTCCACTTATTCTCTACGTTTTCTCTGTTTCAACTTGCCATCCGTCAGTGGGGTATCAGTTTATCCCTACTCTCTTGGCTCCATTACCTTCGCTCTATCCTCTCGAATCAGCAGTTAACTAACAGAACCAAACTATCGTAGATTTTACGCTGTTTACTGAACCTGTTGTTTAAATTTGTTTCTTGTTACTTCTGTTCCATACTTCTGGCATACGTTTTGCAGGACTTCGGCGGTGCTCTATTGTTTCTGACAGTCATTTATCGGTTATTCGATTTTGTCTATCGGTTTGATTACCTGACTATTTGGAATGCCTATGATAGCAACGCTTTCGCCAAACACCATCCATTTGAACAGAAATTATCTCTCGGATTGACAACTAAGCTACCGCCATTGGAGGTCTGTAGGCGCTTCGAAAACGATGGTGGTGGATCGGTTCACCTATCTTGGTAGCTGTGTCACCACTGGTGGTCATATTACCGATGACATTTCAAAGGCTCAACCATCTATGAAATCGGCGTGATATCGGCCTATCAGTGAATGGTATGGTTTATAACGCTGCGACAAAGACGGTGTTACTGGATGGTTCAGAGACCGTCACAACGGCACTCAACCTTAATGGGGTTGGGACTTGTTTGAATAACACTTCGACCCATTAAGCCATACTGAGTGGTTTCTTCGGGCCCCTTTAGAGCTACTTCTACCAGGTTGGTCAATGATTATACGTGAGACGAACACAGTCTCCTGATCCTGCAGATTGGCTATTGCAAATAAGATGGCGTCCGTTTCTGTAAACCCGAATAGTTGATACCTCCCCGCTGCCTTGTGGACAGGTTTTTGAGCAAAAGGCTTTGCTTGTGGACCCTACTCGTTCCCTGCCTAGGTCCGGGCACCCTAACAGTATCTCAACCCCCACATAACCATGACTATTTCTTCAAACTTCGACCACATCCTATATCGACCATTGCGCAGCTTAATAAAGGTCGCCTTATCTGCTGCATGCAGCAGAGCGTATAAGTGAAAAGGCGCTACTGGTGACTCCTCTCTTCTTCATTTTTCACCTATTTCTTTTACCCCCCCCCTCCCAACCTCCATTACTAACGTTCCTTATATAACTCTCAGCCTAACTGACAGTAGACGCAATGCCACGTGCGTTCTACCATCTGCAGCTATCTTCCCGCACCAGCCACTAAACGCAAATCACCACAAGCCTCTTGTGGTGCCGCCCGTTTGACATCAACTAAGCTCGGTTGATGAAGTTGCACTGTACACTATTTGTGTTTTCTGCTCATGCCCCCGCCGACTGCAGCTCTGATGCTGCCAGGGATGTCTTCTACTACGACCTGAACACTGGTACGCAATATTAATAGCTCAGGTATTATAATTCTTGCAGGGGATATGAATGCGCAACTAGGTCATCCAAACTCTTAAAAAGCTCAGCTAGGCGGTACTTACGGGCTTAACTCCGAACGGACAGACAACGTCAGACGTCTGTTGCAACTGTGTGCGGAGTACCAGATGTTTTTAGACATAGTGGATGCCGAAGTGCCACTTGGCGTCCAGCGATGAACCCATAAGTTACAGGTGGTGTGGACTGTTGCTCGTTCTGGAGTATCTTTGTCAACTCTGATCATGCTTTGGTACTATTTTGTTTCTCCATGCGCTTTACCGATTGGCTTGCCAAGCACCTCTCTCGATTGGCAACTGAGAACTAATCTCAGTCCTCGGTAAGACAAGCCTGCCAGAATGCCCTGTGTACCAAACTTTCGCTTTTCCATCCTTATGACAGAGCTTCAGTGTAGTAGGATCTCAACCCCCATGCATGATGCGGGAGCCTCTGCTTGCGGTGCCACCAATCGTCGCCGCACCGGTCACAATATCTACGAAGTCAGTGAACCTGTTGTGATCCCGAAGAAAACTCCCGGCTGGCTTTGAGTGCAATGTGACCAGACGGACTATTAGGTGCGAACTGAAGCTGAAGAGAATTACTTTACCTCTGAAAGGCCATGTTTGCAAGGCCACAGTGACGGCTGTCCTATTCTAGGGGACTGCAAGTTGAGCCCTTCGGTCTTAGGACCTGTGGCGCTTTCATGTCTTGGATCATCGTAGTCCGCGAGGCATTGCTGGTGTCAGATGGCACCTGCGTGTTCGCGTAAGTGATTATATATATATATATATATATATATATATATATATATATATATATATATATATATATATATATATATGTTTGGCGGCATCCGGTTTCGGATTTGCCTGTTACTGTGACAAGCCACAGGACGCCTGCGCCTACAGAGGGACCATGGATGGCTTGCGCTGCACCACCCACAGCTCCAACCACATACCCCATATCCAGTGTAAACCCGAAGGAATAAGACCGGGAGGCATGCGGATGGGAGCCACGTTTCATCAACGGAGCCGGCCCACACTCCTTCACAGGCAAACACAAGCACACTGTATTTGGGAATCCAGCGCACACAAGGCGGTGGCTGGACCGTAGTCCGCTCCACACTAAGTGCATGGAACCACTCTTTGATCCTAACACGGCCACAAGGACCGTGCACCCTGTCCCCTCCAGCAACGACCAACTGTCTCCTACAGCCAGTATGAACGAGGTAGTGGGTAATAGACAGGTAGGCACCTTGTCAACATGCACATCAAGCGCAGCCACACCGGGGATATCAAACAACAGCCAAACACTTGAGAGAGAGAGAGGAAAAGAGAGAAAGAAAATAACTCGATTGATGCATACGGAAACGGTGATATAAACCTTAATTAAATAGCATATGTAATAAGTTGATTACAAACGAATCCTAGCTAAGTGCACGAGGTCAGAAAGTATAGTTCACGGAATGCCACGAACGCAAAAATGTTATGGAAATCGAATACAATTGGCTTAGGCGATGTGTGCAAATTAATGAAATAGAGTTCAGGGAGATATATGAGAAAGAAAAGCATTAAGGTAAAAACTGTAAACCCACCACCTGAAATAAAGTGACTTAGCATGCAAACATGCGGTTAGTAAATCGAATTCAGCGTGCCTACAAACGCTGTGCCGGCTCGCCGTAATTCTCTGTAGGACCCGTCGTCGCTTCTGTAGTGGCCCCTAATGGCATAGCTCATGGCCCGCTAGACATTTATATGAGAAAGAAAGGCATCAGGAGAGAACCGAAAACCCACCACCTGAAATAAAGAGACTTAACATGCGAGCACGCGCTTAGTAAATCGAATTCAGCGTGCCTACAAACGCTACGCCGGTGCTGCCTACGTTCACTGCGGGACCCGTCGTCGCTTCGGCAGTGGTCCGGAGTGACCTCTCTCATGGCTCACTAGGCCTGCCTGACGAAGGCACTCGCGACCGCATGCTCTACAGAACCATGCGCTCGATGTCGATGGAGTACAATTCATCGGTGCTTGCCGCTTCCGCACTTACCGCTTCTTCTCTGCATGCATGAGGGCTTTCTCCCGCACTTCAGCAACTGCCTTCTTGATTAGATCGCGCCATGCACGCCGATCAACCGCCTTCGATTCCCATGATCTGCAATCAAGATTAGAACGTGTGAGGCTCACTTTGATCATGTCCTGGTAACGTAACTTTGGTTTCCCCACGTGCCGCTTCCCAATACTCAGCTGACCGCATAAGAGTCGTTTCGGTATCCGCGTCGAATCCATAGGCTCACATGACCGAGCCATCTCAGGTGTCTCAATAAAAGTATGCCGTCCACTGCATACATCCCACTTCGGCGCAACACTACCGCGTCTGCAACTCCGGCGCCCCAGCCGATCCGCAAAATTCGTCGCAGACACTGCTGATGGAACCGCTCGAGATATCGCACATCCCGACGGCACATCGTCCACGTTTCACTGCCATATAGAAGAACGGACAGTACCATGGATTGGTACACCATCAGCTTTGTGCCAGTGGTAAGCTGATGGTTGTTCCACACTCGGTACTCAAGCTTCCCGAATGCCGCTGCCGCCTTCGACACGCAGGTACCCAGCTCACTGTGTGACTGCTGATCAGTCGATATCACACTCCAAAGGTAGCTGAAACGGGAGGTGGTTTACAATACTTCAGCACCAATGCTGATTCGCGGCAATATTGAAGATTGCACCTCCGGTGAAGGCTGAAAGAGACAGACCGTTTTGCTTGTGTTGATGGTGAGCCCGAATTTTGCCGCTGTCGAAGCCAGAGCACTAATCATGTGCTGCAACTCATCCGCGCTGTGTGAAAACAACGCACAGTCGTCAGCAAACAGCAACTTACGGATAGTTTTCTCACAAACTAGTTCTCGCACCGAAACGACGAATGTTCAGCAACCCACCATCATTACGGTGCTCCACGCGAACACCGTAAGCACAATCGGCATCAAAAGCGCAAGACAACATTGCATGAAGATATATATTAGACAGGGCAGGAGCTAAGACACAGCCTTGCTTCACACCAGAGACAACTGCAAAGTCATCCGAGGTCTCTCCACTCAGCTGCACCCTCGCTCGCATACCACTGTGCAGACATTCAATTAAACTTACAAACTTACGCGGGCAACCAAACTTACCCAACACCAGCCACAA